CCTAGCTACTATGAAACTATGGCACACCCTAACTTTAGGGAGCCCCTCAGAGAATTAATGAACACTGCTGACAGAGAAAAAATGAACAGGGGACACTAGGAGAGAATCTCCAACTTAGCACAACTCTTCTACATCTTAGTTTAATAATTACCAAGCAAGACTTGCTTGGAGTAGTGGTACAAGATACTGCTGTCAAGTGAGGCTCCATGCTGGGAATCTTGCACTTTTCTTTGAAATGTATCAATTTTGCAGGAGCATATGGAAGAGCTGAGCCTTAACCTGATATATGTGCCATTTTTCCAGCTGGCATTCTGGGCAGCCATATTACTGAAGTGAATTTTCCATACACACATGACCATTATATGCATTCCTGATGTCTTGTGTCTTCTGAGGTCTGCATGTGTTCTTCCCATTACCCAGCGCTCACCAGAGAGACCCTGCCTGGCTTCCAGCTGATTACTGGGGTTCCCGAATAGGCCAGGAATACTATTACATTTCAGAGCTGGTGGGTCAAGGATTAGAGACAACACTTTACTGCACAGCCCATTGTGAGTGGTCATTTACAAATCCGTCAAGCTGGCGATGCTCAATTCAGAGCCACCAGGCAGTAGGAACAGCCAGAGTGAGGTCCACATTGTAAACACTTCTGAATCATCCATTGACAACTATATAATCACCGTTTTTAAAAACATCCATAATAGAGCCCTCCAATCTTCTCCCTGTGGAATTCACACTGCGTATGACTCACTCAAATGAACACAGGAAGCTTGTGGTAAAATTGGGAAGAGAATCTAAGTCCTCACCAGAAAACCATCTTTTTTCTCCTCAAGATAAAGTCTCTTTACCATAAAGGAAAGAATTGTCCCTAATTTGTGGTTATTTACAGCAATGTAAATCAAGCACATGCCATGAAATACCAATAAAAATTGTTTAAAATCACCCTTAAATAGCTAAACTCTCAGCAGCAGCTCATAAAACGAGACTTGGCAGTTCTTAGGTAGTTATGGTTAAATTGACAGTCCTTTAGGGAGTTAAGATAGCCAAAAGCAGTAGTAGTTACGAATGAAGTGATAGATGGTAGACTTTGTCGACTGAAGAAACTTTCTAGCAGGCTCCTGAGCCTTGCGCATGTTGATTAGTCCTGGGAAGGGAGAAGGCACACAGCAGCACATGGCAGATTTTTCCACTGAATACTAACCTACTGTATCATATATTCATCATCCATATGGACCTTGACACCAAAAAGCTAGACAGGAGAATGATCTTGGGCATAAAGAATTATGTTGCCATCTGCATGTAATAGGAGACTTTTCAGGCAGGAAAAAAAGATAGAAGGGGGAGCAAGTCCAAAAGAGACCAAAAGGGAAAATTCAGAAACATGAAGAAGGGACCAACAGCATAAATGAAAAAAAAGAACATCCATTAAGAAGCTACATCTCAGCTCCTTTTTAAAAAGTCAGGTGTGTGAGTTATATTAGCCCTGAGCCAGGTTGAACTTCCGTTGCCAATAACCACATCCACTGCCAATAACCCAAGCTGACATAACAGAAGCATTAGGGAGGGCTGGGATTTTTCCCCCTGTAGCATTAGGCATTCACATCTCTTTTCCACTTATTTTTCAAAATGTATTGGGTATTGTAGCCAACCTCCTCTCTCATTGTTAAGCAAGATAAGTTACAAGATGGAGCTCAATCCAGAGCCCTAGGCTTTAAGGAGCTTCAGACTTTGTCCCCAAGCCTGGATCTGAATTTTGCAATAGTCTCCTACCCTGTTGCCAAACACTTCTAAACTGCCAGATCTGGGCCCACATTTTTACAGCATGATCTTGACTTTAGCTTCTGCGCAGTATATCACGGCAATGCAGCAGGGTAACTAACACCTTGCCCCCACTCTCTCATCTACCTATAGTGCCCTGGTGCTATATGGCCAGAGCACCTCAGTCTTTAGGGCATGTATCTTTGCAATGGCCCACTGAGGTAGGGAAGCAGTATTATTCCTCTTTTACCTCTGAAGATCTAGGCCTATGTCACAAAGAATGCTTTCCAGCACAGTGGGAACAGAATCTGTATCTTCAATAACCCAGATTAGAGCTCTACCCACCAAACTATCCTTTCTCTGCTGCAAACTTTCTGGATATGCTTCCAAAATGCAGAATGCCAGAAAGCACTGGGAGCAATCAGGGTCTTCCAGTCGACTGAATGATTACATTGATTTTTGTGATTTTAACTCCAGCCTGAGCATTACGCTGTTCAGGAAAACCTCCAGTGTTTAACTCACAGGATTTTTTTTCATTTGTTGTACACGGGGAATGGAGAGTACAGTGACAGCTGAACCCTAATTCATGTACATCATCTCTTATTCACACAGGTATTTCATTGAACAACAGAAGTATGTAAGTCCTTGATCATTCCAGCTGCAGAGCATAACTTAGCACCTAGGAATATAACTCATCCCTACCTAAATCCCTACCTAAATTCATCAGATGAAGACCTGAGTTCTCCAGTGCCAGTAGATAGGTATATTATATGTGGCCTCTTTGAGTGATCTTCTAGACAAGAAGTCCTGTATGTAGAGGCAATGTCTTTCCAAGCACTTGGACCTGCTTCCTCAGCAGGAACCAGTCTTATTCCCCATATCGTTCAAAGCAGTGGCAGAGCCATAGCACATCTCAATCAGTAGCTCAAACCTAGCAAAGAGCCCATTTTCACTTGGGATTCCCCAAGCAACTCCATACAGCCATTGACTATACATGACACTAAGTGATAGGCACCTGTTTCCTAACTTTCTCTGCTAATCAGAGACTGTTTCCCATTCTACAAATGTGGCATGAAAATAGAAAGGTTATGACATTCAAACGATGTCTAAAGGCAGAGAAATAAACATTTATTTCAAAACCAGCAAGATGTATTTGCATTTATTTATTTTATTAAAATGGTTACATATGTCAAAACAAAGAAGAGCAATAGTAATAATGTTTGTTTTTCCTACATCATAAATAATTGTCTCCGTTAGCTGTTGGCTCAGCATTGATCATGATTCTTGTTATTTAAAAACACTCAGTATTAGCATTTGTGTTTTCAGAAAACATTAAAGCAGCAATAGAGAAAATAAATTAAAGAGAATTGTAACAAAATGATGCCAAGTATTTGTTAAATGTAAAACCAACTTGATGTATTTTACAGGTTATTCTTTGTGCTTTGATCATTTAAAAAAAAGAGACACGAACAAGTATTTCTACAATGGTTTGCTTCTCCAGTTTTATCCCAGAGAAGTCACTGATAATCTTTTTTTTTAACATGAAAAATATTGTTGTCATTTGTTCAAATAAAAACACTGAGGACATATCTAACGGAAAAGTTTGACAAGACAATTTATTGTCACAAAATATTTAATACCAGAATAACTTATAATAGTATGAACAAGAGTGAAGTATTTACTCCCCATTCTTAGGTACAAACTCACATTATTATGACAAAATCCAGTAAACTCAGTTATCAAAAATTGTTGTCATGGAATTCTAGACACATAATGATGCAAGTCAATAAAAAAGTATACTTCAGCTGTTCATACAGTCATGACATACATTTCCAGCTTGGCACTTTATGTCAATGCAAATCAGCAATTTAGAAAACAAAGTAAAAATATATATGTACAAAATATTTTCATATCAAATCATTTTCATTGTACACTAAATAAAACCCAAAATATGTTATGTTACATCAAGGAGTATCCTAAGAAGTCACATCAAGGTTGATGTTTGCTATGTATCTTGACTAATGCAACTGGAATAGACTATACTTACAAATTATTTCTACCACTGGCCCAATTCTGCGACCACTGAAGCGTAAGGGAGTTTTATCACTGACTTCAAGTGAAGCAGGATCAAAGTAATATCTGGGTTCATTATTGGCTCACCAAAAGAGGCTAGCAGTAAAAAATGAATAGGTTACCCACAGGGAAAAAAAAATATCTGAACCTTCATAACAATTAGTTCTTTTCCAGTTTTCTGTAACTGATTTAGTATAAATTATATTTGGCTTTACCATTGTTTATTCAAGCACTGTAAACCTCATTAGAATATTGTTATATGATTCAAGAAAAACTTGTACACCAAAAAATAAATCTGGTTTTACATTAATTATTTCACTCAGTATCAGTCAAGTTTAGAAACTCTGAATGTTATTTTTAACGCATGGTTTAGTATCCACTTAAAAACCTCTCATAAGTGAAATGCCCAGATTTTTCAGAGTGTCGTGTTCCATATGGTTCTAATTTGAGTTTTAACTTTGAGTATATACAGTTTTCATTATGTCTTTTTTCTCATTGCAATGTGAATTGTCAATCAACTCTCTTCATTTGATACAATATCTACAAAATAAAAGGATTTTGGACATAGTCAAGCTATAACAATTTCTATCATAGGATCTTATTGAGCTCCAATACAAATAAAAATTGCATGATAGATTTAGATTGGTACAAAGAGAAATCAGTATAAAAGAGAAATGAGTTTTCATTACTCCTATAATAAATTCAGTAAGTCAACACAAAAAATTTAGAAGTATGAAATCCAATTTAAATTTTCAGAGGGTCTTGCTACAGCCTTTCAACTATAGATTTTTTAAATGAATGCAATGGTGAGTTGTAAGTGTACTTTCAAATTGATGCAAATGATCAATATATTTCCCAAATCTATGTGGGTTCTACAGTATTGCACTATTCAAAGTCATGATTTTGGTATTCAAACATTGCATATTCAGGTAAGAAACATGCATAACAACCTTATTGTCACTTTGAAAAAACTTACTGTACAACTTTTATAATACTGTGATTTTTTTCAAAGATGTAACATTTTCATTAAGACTTACCAGTCACCAATTTGTATAAGTCAGATATGCAGCAATTCTCAAGGGCTTCCAGCAATAATGTGTTTAGCCCTAGACTGCCAAGCCCACTTGGAATAATATACAAAGATTAAGTATTATGGCAATGTCATTTTGAGGCATAATTGTGTTGTACTATGCCCACGTTATAGCTTATTTTTTAAAGCAAGGCACTTATTATTATAGCAATGCAGTGATGCACACTTGATTAACATAAAATAAGTTAATATTTTGATAAAAACTGATTTTTTATAATTTACATGCCTTTTATAGAAGCAGTTGAACATTTTATTTAATACAATGAAAAAGTCTGAGTCTGAGGGAGATTTTTTTTTTCTACTGACCATAAAAGGAATCTGTTTTCAGTATTTGCTTTGCATCTGTGGGTCTGATTTTACTGAAAACCAATGCTATTAGGAACGTCCATTTGGCCAAAAAAGGTACCCCCATTCTCTCAGAATTGTTGAACTAATGGCACTTTAACAGTCTTTACTTCTGATATATGTGATGACTTTTGAATGATGCAGCTGGTAGTTCCCTGTAGTTTATCCTTTCCTTGTGCGAGGTTTGTTAGAGCCATAGCCGCGTTGATTTCCTTCCAGTATGTTTCATCTTTGTTTGTTCCTTTTCTGTTAGCTGCGCTAGATTCAAACAACAACAAATATTTACATGGCTTACATATATACAATAGGGAAAACCGTACTGAAGAATTCAAGTGGCAAATGTAGCCCCTTACTCACCTTTCACACTTGCTAGGTCCATTTTCCAAAGTTTCTGAAAACAGAAAAAAACCCATTATTGTTTTTGTTCATTTTGTTCATAATATTTCTTAAAATGTCCCCCAACCTAACATGAAATTGGTTTGTGGAGAGATAAGCTGGCTTCTGAAATCAAGATAAGGTTTTTATGAAAATAGCTGGACATATGACCATAAGAAACATGAAAGCTGTGTCATAGTCTTATAGACTAGGGACAGACATTCAAAAAGCCTGAATTAATTCAATCTTCACAGGTTAGTCTAACCTGGCTAGGCTGAATCAGTTTGTAAGCATTCATACATCCCATCTGGACTGAAGAAGTATAGTCACATGCCTCCAGTAGCTCAGGCTAGAAGCTGGGGGATGCTAGAGCAACCCACCCTTCCCTTCCAGAGTGCTGAGCTGAGAGGAGACATGGCCAGGCCCTGGCAGGATGCTCTGATTAGGGAAGGATCCCCCGCCTTGCCCAATCGGTCCTCCTGACCAGTGATGGAGCCAGCAGGGAATTACATAGCATTTACTTACACAGCAGGGAGTTACAGTGTTTATCAGCCTATCAAGGAAACAAAAGCCTCTCTCATTAGTTGAAGCTCTTCTTTTAGCTCCAAAAAGTCCCAAGCAGACACTGTCTTGCCTGCCTTACACAGACACCTCTCAGCATTAGCTAGCATACCACACGCTGGCTACGGTCTGTGTTGTGGCAGAGGGGATTGGGAGAGAAGGGGCAGGAGGAAGCCAAGTAGACACTGCTTTGCCTGCCGTCTCTGCTGGAGCTCCAGCTAGGGAGTAGAGGGGCAAAGCTGGCCCTGCTGTGGAGCAGAGAGCCCTGCCCTGGGCTGCAAAGCATTTGGGATGCTGTGGGACTCTAGTTTATGTTAAACCAGGAAGAGGTCTGGGACAGACATTGCATAAACCACTTTGACCTAAATCAGTTAAGTCTGATACTACATTCAACCAGGTTTATCTCAAACTAGTTTCAGCCATTTTCAAACTGGTTTATGTGCACTGAACATGTGCTCTGTTACAGGTTTAAAACAGTTTCTGATCACTTAAACCAGTTTATTTGTAATGTCTGTCCCTAGCCATAGTGAATTTACTCTTGAATTCATTACAAACAAGATTTCTATTGAAAAGATATCCACCAATGCATGTGGCCTCCCTTTCTCAGTCTGCAACTTAAACAGTGATTTAGGAAAGGCGCTTAATTATTATATAACAAGCACACACAATCAATAATATTTTATGTTTCCACGCACAACAGGAATGTTCTTTTCTGCACCATCAAGAATTACTGCTGCCTAGTCACATGTATTCTATGTAGTAACAGACCAGGCAGACATATTTCAGATTGTTTGTATGAGAGTGTTTAACCATTATGCTTCTACAAATATGAATCCACTCTGCTTCTACAAGTATAACATGGAAATTCATTAAAGAGGAACTACATGAAGCTGCAATAATGACTGTATCAATTAATAATGACTAAAACAAAAGAGCAGAATGAAATACACCCTAATGAGCCAGCCTTAAAAAACAACATAAGCTAGCAATGGCTTCTCTCCAGGCTTTCAGAATTGCATTTGACAGAGCTGAAAACAGTCTGATAACTGATGATTTCACAAATTCCAAAGATGAAGTTTTCTTTAAATAGAGCTTCCATGCCAATGGATGCTAAAACACTCTACAAAACTTATTAATTCACTAAACAAAGAGAGGTAGTTAGTTGTGTTAATCTGAAGTCTGGCAGGACACTTTATATAGAGACTAACCCAGAGAGGATAAGCTTTCATAAGTAACAGCTTCCTTCATCATCTGACAAAACTTACTTCACAGCATGAAGGAAGCTGTTGCTCTCAAAAGCTTCTTTCTCTGAATTAGTCTGTAAGGTGCCATCCTGACCTGCCTTCTAACTGAACAAGTTATATATAAAAATGAATTAACCTACCACTAGGGCTAGGGACAGACATTCATAGAATCATAGAATCATAGAAGTTGGGTCAGAAGGGACCTTGTAGATCTTCAAGTCTGACCCCCTGCCTCGGCAGGTGAAAAAAACTGGGCTCAAATGATCCCAGCTAGGTAGGCATTAAGCCTCCTCTTAAAGACCCCCAGGGTAGGAGCCAGCACCACTTCCCTTGGAAGTTGGTTCCAGATCC